TTTCGTTTCTTCACTATCTATCGTCAAGGTCGTCTGTCTAATTCACGCATCTTTTCGTCGACTCTTTATCGTTTCGACAGTCCACTCGCTTTCTACACGTCAATTATTTCGACATAGAATAATCATAATCAAGATGCGCTTCTCAGCTTTCGCCCTCCTCTCGCTGGTCTCGGTTGCCTTTGCTGGTAACTGCGGACCCCAGAATGGAAACGCCAAGTGCGCTGCCAACGAGTGCTGTAAGTCTACAATACCCTCACATCTTCGAATTCTTGCTAATAATGCATCACAGGCTCCCAGTACGGCTGGTGCGGAACCACTCCCGCCCACTGCGACGCAAAGAACTGCATGCACCCCTTCTCCGGCGCCTCCTCATCCTGCAAGCCCACGCCAACCACGATGAAGACCTCCGCGACCAAGCAAGCCACCTCGCCCGCAACCACCTTCCCCACCGCCGTCCCCGAGATCGACGTCTGCGGTCACGCCCAAGGCGGCGTCACCTGCCCCGGCGCCGGCGCAAACGGCTTCTTCTACCGCTGCTGCTCGTCCGCCGGCCACTGCGGCCCCAAGAACGATATCCAGGACCAGAACCTGTACTGCGGCGACGGCTGCCAGGCCGGCTTCGGAAAGTGCGACAACCAAAAGGCGCCTGCTGAGCCTACTGCCCCCAAGGGTACTTCGGGTGAGGGAGAGACGTGCGGTCCTATTGTTAACAAGAAGTGTGGTAACAACCTCTGCTGCTCTGGTTCCAACTTCTGTGGCTCTGGTGAGGACTTCTGCGGAAAGGCCAACTGGTGCCAGAGCAAGTGGGGAAGGTGCAACTAAGATGTTGGATGTCAACATGGGTTGGAGTAGAGAGGTTGGGGGTAGAATAGAGTAACAAGTACAAGAGTCCCTGGGACAATCAAAAGACATGAGAACTACACGTTACCTGCACACCCGTAGACATCGCATTGCCATCTTTCCACGAGCGGATCCTCCTTCAAAGCTATGCTAGGCGCGGAAGAAGTTCTTCACGAACCCCCTTACACGCTCAACGCAAGCATACAGCAACCTCCATTCACACCCCCATAGCAGCCTCACGGGTGGGTGAGTGTGGATGTCTTCTCTACTGTGCGATAAGGAGTGTTGTCTTGCTTGATGGTGGTGGTGTTAGTGGTAAAGATAGGGGAGGAGAGCTGGAGTTGTCCTGAGCGAGAAGAAAAGCCATGTCATCCATTGTAAAGAGTGGAGCGAATGGGTGCCGCCGATAGTCCGGGGGAGGGAGTTTGACTGTTGATAGGTTAGACTACATTCAAGTTTCGCACCTCTCGCTGGGAAATGGCTGCTCGAAATGGGCAAGGTAATATGATACTTAGGTACTGATGAAGTGAAGTGAATATACAGAATCTTGTCCAAGCAAGCTTCGGTCGAGCCGTTTTCCACGCGAGGGATCAGATATAATGATTTGGGGTCGCCCCGCTGTTTATCAAAGGCTTGATGGAAGGATGAGGGGGATGTTTGGTTTGATCCTAACAGTCCTCCTCGTGTATCAAGTTATATATCATTTCTTTATCTATAAGTTAGAGATTCTATCATCGTAATCTACTCTGTGTAAGGACCGTACCAGCACCAAACCACATCAAACTACACCAAACACATGACCGTCACACCAAATACGCCTCTCCCCCGAAAGATAGAAGACTAAGAAAGAAAGAAGAACCCCAGAGAAATAGAAAACACCTAGTCCTACCACTCTCCCACACCACACTAACCCTTAACCCACTCCCCAACCTCAAACCCCACCCTCCTCAAATCCGCATCCGCAAACCTGCCTCCAGGTCCACACGCCTTCCAAACACTCAAACACCTAACCCCTTCGTCCATCTCCGGTTTCAGCCCCACCTGCCCCTCCTTCGGATCAAAGCTCTTCACATACAACGTCAAATCGGGTCCTACGGTGCCGCGCCACAGCGTCGCCATCCACTGCCAGTGGTCGGTTGGGCTGTAGGCATCTTGGATGGGGATGCGGGAGGCGTAGGCGATGGAGGCGGCGAGTTGGAAGGTTGGGAGCAGAATTACGGGTTTGATGGTGGGGGAGGTGGAAGAAAGGGAGTGGGAGGGGGAGTCGGGGGGTGTGGCGGAGTCTTTGCGGGTGTCTTTTGTGGAGACGATGATTGTGTCGCTGTTGTTGGAGGACGGGGTGTCTGTGGAGGAAGTGGGTGTGGTGGTGATGTATTTGATCATTTCTTTGCTCTTGGCGTGCCATTCTTTGATTAGGTCGAGGTACTCTTCAAATGTGACTTCTTTGTCGGCGTTGTCGGTGGGGGCTTGCGGTGGCTCCGCGATTTGGGGACTGTATTCCTTTTGCTTGATGAGGTATTCGTTGAGCCATTCTGTGAGTTCTTTGACGGCAGCTGGGTCGTCGCCTTCGATGGCGATGATGGCTCCGCGGTTGGCGCGGTAGGATGGGCTGGCGGTACCGGGCTCTTTGTATTGATAGGGAGGCGTTATACGTCCGAGGAGTTTGATCTTGTTGGGGTATGGGAAGGCACTGAGAACTTCCTCTACGCTCTTGGGGCTGCCATCGGACTGTAAAGATCCTAGCTCAACCATTGACTGATGGCGCATCTCGCGAGGGGTCCGCGGAGGAGGCATTGTCGCACTGTGTGGCGTCACATGGATGGGCGGCAAAGATTCGCGTCGATAGACAGCGTATTGCTGGATCGGGCCGTTATGCGATCCCTCTGGTCTACGACCGTTACTCGTTGGCGGAGGCCCTTGGTCGAAGCGGCGCTTCTTATTCGGGGTCAAAGGGCTATACATCATCGCGTCTCCACGCATGGTCGGATTGAGCTGAATGTTACTGAGGCTTGGTGGAATGGGACCTCGGCGATGACCGGGCGACTCAAGGCTAAGGTTACTCATCACGGGTAGGTAACGAGTTGTTGGCGTGAGGCCTTCCGAGATGTTAGGAGGCGGCAGAGTCGGGGTGCCAGAGGCGTCGAGGAAAGGACTGGTAGGTGTTCTCAGACTGCGGCCACCACACTTGTGACAACGGTACTTGTCAACTGTCGTATGCTGGCCAGTAGGGTTCAACGGTGACGACCCAGGTTTGCCAAGACGACGCGGTTGGTAGCGATAGTCGGGGTATTGTTCCTGGTGCCTGGCTTTCTCTTCCTAACTTCACATTAACAAAGACAATGGAGGGTAAGGTGCCAAGGGCCACTAACCTGCGCAAGGTCTTGCCAAACCTTCTTCTGCTCTTCACCCTCAGCCTTCCACTGTTCACCGATAATCTTTGAGATGTCAGGATTGTTGAGACCCGGATTACGAGCGGTGATGGCCTGCTGGTGGTGCTGTCGATAAAGAATAAAAGCTACAAGGCAATGGTCAGTAGGCTGCGCAAGAATGACCGCAAACAATGATGGGTGTCTTTGTTCTGAGTCAAATCCGAGTCAAATGCTCCGATTAGGAAAGTGACGTACATCCAAGACAAAGGAAGATAATATCGACTTACCATTTCGCGGACGCGGTATTTTCGGCTCTGGCTGACACAAGCAAACATGACCTGAGAAGTCTGGCTCGCCACCAGCTGTAGCGGACGAAGCACTCGGGGGAGGTTTATCGTCAGATGGACTGATCAAGTCGTCGGCCCCGTCAATCTCAATCAGCGGCGAAGGTCTTTTCCTTGTAGTCCTCGGAGACGACAAAGCAGGAGAGACTGGAGGCTCGTCCCTCTTAGTACGCTCAGCAGTAGGACTAGACGTGGAAGCTGGGCGCGTCTCGTTGATCCGACTGCTCTTGCGCAAGTTCCTCGAAGGCTTCGAATCGTCCATCGGAGACACTGGAGATGCATCACCAATCTGCATGTTTGTCTTGACGTACCGCCTCGGCACGTGAAAGAAGGTAGCGACAGGCGGAGAATGGGGAGAAGAAGGAGTCCAAGTCCAAACAATCGGTGGCAACACTCGACTGGCTAGCATTTTCGATTTCTAGAGACGCGGCAGCTGACCTAATGACTCCGATGGAAGAAGGCGCGGTTCATTGTCCTCGGTCGGACACGAAGGGAGGGAACAGCCGCGTTGGTAACGAACCATTAACAACATGTCCGTATCTTTGAATGCATTATCCGGTAGCTAGAGTTGGATCTTTGACGCTTTGACGATGGTAGCAGCCGTGATCCAGTAAAATGATTGTTCCAGTCATATGCAGCCGATCTGCGCTGGCGGTTTCTTTGTTCTACTACTTCGGGAGCGTGCCAAGACGAGCTTCCACCAACCGCGAGACATGTACATTCCTGCGTCAGCTATGCAAATAAGAGCCGGGGCTTTGTCTCAGACCAGGGCCTGGTCTTGTCTCGCGTTCGTCATTGGAGTGGTACTTTGATGCGCGGCTTATGCAAGGGGCGCCAACAATGCAACACCTTCCCGCATTGCAGTGCCGCATCGCAACGGCTGTGGCTCAGCTCAGAAGCGAAGCTGTAGACGATAGTCTCCCCTATTACGACTGATGATGCATGCAGTCAAAGCATCGAAAGACGGGCGCGAGCCAGGGAGGCAATAGACCTCAGAGATTTCCACCTTCCCTCCACCTTCCCCACTTCCCAATCCTCGCCAATAATACAACATTCTCTTTCATATGACAATGACTGTGGCTCAGTCTTGAAAACGACGCAGTCATACTGCGCCTTGCCGCCATATGCCGTCCTGGTTGTAGCGAGGCGCATTTTACCCCGTGTCGCGGGTGACCAGGTAGTTCCACGAAGCTCTTCTCAGCCATGGCCAAGTTCCAAACAGTGTCTTTGACAACTTGTGCTGACAGCCCGAGGGAACATTCGTTCTGTCGGCGAGGTCTCAGACACTTTCTTAACGACCTGTGATAGTATCCCGGAAGAAACTTGCGGTCAAAGCTCACTCCCTCCTGCTCTTCCGATCTGTCCCTCTTTCCTACGTCCGTGTCCGTGTCGCGGGGAAGCAGGAAGCTCCGTTCAGCCTCGGCCGAGTTCCAGACAGTGTCTTGTGCTAATACCCTGGAGGAAACTTGAGCTTAAACTGCGCTCGCTCGTTTTCCTGCTTCTTCTCTTCCTCACTCTTTTCACGCACAGCATTGATGCTCCGATTCCCGCGTACCAAGTTCGCGGCATGTTTGCCAATGAGTTCATGAGCCGGCCCACTGAGCTGAATATTATCCCTATCACATCAACCCGTTAGCTTGAAACAGAGACAAAGCGTTTGTGCTGTGCTATGACTTGTGGCTTGAAAGGAGCGTGGTGCTATGCAGCGACTGAGGTGCGTATAGCGTGAAAGCAGTAGATGTATCAAGTGATCAAGGACGAGGCTTATGAACTTACCAAAATAAGTGCTGTGTTGGCGCAGAGCATTTAACCAATCCACTCCCCCTTACAGCATCCAAACAAGGCGTATCGACATGTTCGAAAAGCGGTGCTTGGGCACCCACACCGGTCGCATCAGAAATCTGCCTCGAGTGGAGTTGTTTGGCGCGGACTTCGTTCATGATGATAGCATTTGGCTCAGGCATGTAGATGGCGCCGTTTTTCCATTCTGCAGCTTTCCGAACTAAGACTGTGTTCCAGTATGACCATAGAAACACCATTCGGTGCTGAGTCACTGCGAAATCGGCTTCCCGCATGGCTTTCTTTTGTACTTGGAATTGCGGGAGGAAGGAGGCGTCGATCATTTTGGGTATGACAACGTTGGGTGGGTGGGCTGCGTGTTCGGCCAGGATGTCGAGACTGTGGAAGAGCGACTCGATGCTCTTGTCCACTGCGGACATGGCCACAGGCTTCTCCAATGTAGAGTATTCGAGCAGATCCCACAGGCCAAAGAAGACCGTGAAGAAAGTCCATTCGTCTCCTTTCCGTAGGCGTTCGGGGATGACTCGTCGCCCCTTGTCGTAGGCGACGTACTGTTCCATTTGTGTCTTGAAGTCAAACGACGTCACGGTTATCTCGTTGCTTCCCGCGCCTTTCGTTTCCGTGTGGACGTTTGCGTCGACTAGCGATCCGATGTGTGCAGCCGCGGCTGGCTTGGAGTGGGCGAAGTTGTCAATCGTGTCGCATGCGAGCTGGAGTGTGTTAGAATGTGTTTGTGCATGAGGGCATGACTCTGACGAACCTCTTTGCATAGCGTTTCCACCCATAGGTCGCCTCGGTCAGCGTCGCGGGCTACCACTGCGGATAGCACAGGCGAAGAGACGCGGTAGCTTCCTGTGTCGGACCAATCGTTGCCGAACACTACTATGCGGTGCGCGTTACCGCGCCATACTGTGTTGACGGTGTCTTCGAAATTGGCGGAATGTACCCAAGTGAAGTACAAGATCATGAGAATGGCAAGAGCCGCACAGAGGTGCAGCCGCGAAAAGAACCTCATTGTGTGGTCGGCTAGGCTATGCGACAGGTGACAGGCGACAAGTGTGAGGGTGAAGTGGTAGCAATGCGATGCGACCCAGCAAATGGAAGCAAATAGTGGGCAGCTTGGTGAAGCAGTGGAAGGTATAGGCTGCTAACCGCGGGAGTAGCCAGCGTCATCCTTGACAAGCGTTAAGGAACATGACGACGCAGTTGACGCCTGTGCGAGTGCGAGCCTCGCTGTGATTGCATCCCCGGGAATGCATGGGTCAGAAACGTCCAAATGTGGATACATGTCGCGTGCGCGTCGCATGCCAAACTCAGAATCCCATAATTGGCCTGACTCTCCATCGACTCACATGCCATCGACTCACTTTCCATAGTCAGAGTTCGCCTGGCCAGACCCCCTCCTTTTCTTTTTGTACGGCCGCCGCGACACCGAAGGCGCCGACATTACACAGCGCCGTCGTGCGAAAAGTTGAGGTTCTGACCGCGCGGAACCCACGGCCGCTCGGCATCTCGCCCCACTTCTCGTGGCGTAATCAGCGGAGCAGAGTTCAGGACTTACGTATATAATTTTAGCTAACGAATATCAGTGGAGGAGGATGCGAATGCCCAGGTTGTGAAAGCCACGAAGCCACAAATGCAGCAGACGCGCTATGCCTCTAGCGCGTTAAGTGCTTATCCTGCCGCCCGTTGGATACGATCGGGTTCGGAAGATGCCAACCGCTTGTCAGCCCGCATGCTGCACCGCCGCCGACTCCTCGCCATCGCCAAACTTCAGGTTCGCGAACCTGTCCATCAGGAAATCTCGCATCGCACCTTTATCGTCAATCCACTGTGCGACGATGAACGCCTGCTCTGCCCATTTCTTCGTCTTAACATCGTCTTCTGACAGGTAACAATCCACGGCGCGATTGAAAGCGGTGCTTGCGAGCCATTCGAGCTCGGTTTTGGGGTAGCAGTCGATCTCCTTGATGCACTCGTCAGCCAGGTCTGCAGTATCGTCGTTTGTGGCGAAATCAGAAGATGGCGGCGGTGTATCTAGTCCGGCTGTCGCGATGGTGGGATGGATGGTCTGAATGGGCTTAGGAATATATCGGGATTGCAAGCGTGCGGGAACTTACGTTTTTCTGCTTCGCAGCGAGATGTGTTACTTGCTGGATGCATTTGATGCTGACTTCCTCGTCGTACTCGAGTGAAAGGCTGAACATGCATCTAAGCCAGCGTGCCAGTTTCGTGATGTCGCGGCCTGCTGGTTGGCGACAAGTCAGATTGATGATTTTCTGAAGGACAGATAGTACTTCTGTCAACTTCGTCAGTCTTCATCGAGCGAGTAGTTCGATGATCTTACTCTTCTGATATTTGTTTTCTAGTCCCGCTTTCACGATGCAGCCATGCACGACTAGAACGAGATCTGCAAGAGTCTCGTAATGATCCGGGTTCTTGTACTTCCAACACTGGTCGAAAAGATCGTCAAGCTCATCCCATCTCTCAAGCTTTAGGACAGCTTCGAGCTCCAGTTTGACAATCTGGAAGTATTTTGACATGATGTCGTCTTGAGAGGTTCCACCGAGTTTGCTTATGCTCTCCGCTGCGGTGCGTCGGAACTCCTGGCTATGCTTGTGGGCTTCGAGGTAATAACCAATCTGTAGTAGTCAGACACTGGTAGTTCTGACGAGATGCGCGACTCACGCTTTGCTTGGTGTTATCCTCTGCGCGGGCCAGGGTGGTGTAGGTACAAGCAGCGAGGAACTCGCAGAACACCAGCCGGAGGCAAAGATCACCGTCTGGATTTGGTTGGGTCTTCTCCTTGAGGAGCTTGATGAACTACAAGGGTCAGCGATATTGCTTCCGTCTGTGGCGTTCAGCTCACCTCAGTGCAGCATCCGAGCAACCTAACCAGAAGCCCTGGTGGCATCTCCGCGCAGTACTTCAGCGACATGTTATAAGCGTTCTTAGAAAACCACTCAAATTCCACGGCTGTGAAAAGTTCCTTGGCCGGCGTGCTCGGCCTGATACGAGATGCTTTGGCTTGAACGCATGCTTTGACAATCAGTTAAAGCGCCTCCTCCGGAAGTGCACAATGACTTACCACCCTCGAAGACGTTACAGATCTGTTCCAAGATACCAATATCAATGTTGCCATCTTTAGTAAGCTCGGACTCCAACATACGTGCGGTAGACCTGGTCACATATTAGAGGTTCGTAACACTTCTGGTGAGCGACGTACCTTAAAAGCGCAGGGAGATGTATTCCTGCCGGCGCACTATGCTCGTACTTCTCCAGAACCTTCTCGAGAGCATTGATAGCCTGTCTTTTGCTCCCCGCACTCTGAGCCTCCATGACGCAAGCGTAAAGTAGGGTAGCGTCTTTCGCGGAACTCTGACAGACATAGTCGAGACATTCAGCAGCGAAGATCTCATCGCCGCCTCGCAGACCTGCCTTGTACATGAGGTAGCGAGTCACCGGGTCGTTTCTACCACTCTCAGGCATCTTGGCGAACACTTCTCGAGCAGCTTCGAAATCTTGACGTGACAAGGCGCACTGTATGATCTTCCTCGCAACCTTGGTTTTGTTCTGCACGCCAGCCTTCTCGAAGATGTCATGAAGGCATGCTTGACACCAAGCCTCAGCGATGCCGTGTTGTTCCTGGCTGGACGCGGCCTCCACCTTCTTCCATAAGAGGGTTTGCGCAGCATGTGTGGCAGGCGCAGAAAGCGAAACTTTGGAGTTATGCGCCACGGTATCGAAGAGGTCTTTGAGTTGCTCGAGCGCATTTTCGGAAAGATTGTTGTTGATTCCAATCCAGATGCGCGTGATGACTGCCTTCTCGATCCAAGATTGGTTTTCCTCTCGAAAGAGGCGGATATCGATCAGGTCGTCCAGTACTTTGCAGGCGGTCACGTTGCTATAAGTGGTCAGCGAGACGCTGTAGGCGTGTATGATTATGTGTACCTGTGTTCTTTGAGCTTGTGAATGTAGTGCATGATGCTAGAATGTGTTAGTCAGACTGAATGAGAAAGGGTAACGGGTGAGGTGCATACGTTTTGAAGTTTGTATCGTTCAGCACGATGGTACGGATCATGCGTAGAAGGACTAAGGGAATTAGCGCATGATGGCGGACAGCTTTGAGTAGCTTGCCATTGTAGTACTCGGACGTGTCCATGGTTTCGGCTTCGGACAGCAGTTCGATCTTCAGCAATGAGACAATCATCTTATCCCCGAAGTCCTGAAGAGCATTAGTCAAAGATAAGATTGAGCCAGACTGTTCCCGAGACGCACAGTCTCCATCAACTTCACCATTTGCCACGCCTTCTCTTGGGCAATAGGCGTCTTCGTCTTCATATACGTCTTGACTGACGACCTCATTAGCCAGAGCTTAATCGCCATGTTAACGGGACGTGCATACCAAGACTTTGCATGATACTGAGTCTCAGCTCACCAATCTCTGGACCAAGCATGTCCAGGTCCTGCTCCCCAAGAACATCGAACGCGCGCTCTAGCCATCTCGTAGCAACCTCATAATCGCGCTTCGCCAAAATAGCCTTCCCGATCTCGTACAGCAGATCGGCAAGCTGCTCAGTGATGGTAGAGGTAAAGCTTTTCCTGACTTGCCTGCACTTCTCGAACATATGCTCTGCCATGCCCATCTGATCTTGACGCCACGACAAAGTCATCCGCACAGCGAAGTACTGCGCACGTAGGCCGTCTGCGAGCTCGGCGTCCTTCTCAGGCTTGTCGTTGGTTCCCTTGCTCAGAACATCTTCGTACTCAGCAGCGAGCTTGAGTAGGTCTGTCGCGATGCTCAACTCATTCGCCTCGATGCACACTCTTGCAGCTTTCAGTGCAACCTTCATAAGACGAATGCAGCTCTTGCGCTGGCGTACGTTGTTTGGTCCGCGACCGCCAGCTGAGTCGAGGAGTAGGAATGCGTACGCACGGAGGGAAGGCACCACGCTGGTCTTGTCTGCTGCTGAATCTTTCGGCTGATTATTGACCACGGAAGTGTCGCGTCGCAAGCGCGTAGCTTGATTCCAAAGCTCAGTTCCCAGCTTGTCGAGTTCTTCCTGCCTCGCAGTGACGGCAGTCGAGGTTTTGAGTGGTAGCCCGAGAATTTGGGCCTGAAGTTCACCAATGATCGTCGCATGGTTGCCGGCTTCTATGCGCTTGCTGAGCGTTGAGGCGAATGCTGGTGGGAAGGTAAGTGTCACGCGCAGGGCAGGCGCGAGATAGTGCACTTACTGAGGACTGCCTTCAGCTTCTTCTCTCGCTCCAGTTTGGCTGCTGACTGCGCGGGCGGCATGATGCGTGTCAGGTGGCAATGCGAACGACGTTGGTTGATGTGCAGCTTGAAGATGTGAGATGTCGGATTGCGACTGCCACTCTGGAAGGTGGCTCCACACGCACGTGCAGAAGATCAGGAAGGAACACACACGTGGACGCGAGGAAGACCGGATGCAAGACGGAGGAACGAATGAATGAAGATATGAAGGCAGGCAAAAGGATGTACATGTTGAAGTCAACCTGTGGATATCGCCGCACTTGCAATTACCCTCCCAAGTGATTTGCGCACTCTTTCTGACCAATGTTTTGAGACACCCAAGCCAGACATTACCCTGTTCCCAACCCATTGTACAGCAAAGTTTTACAAAAACACCCGTTCCAAGCGAAATTTCCGCAAGAGGGTCTACTCTTTGAGCTCGAAAACGCTCAAATCGGTGCCGTTGAAGATAATGCGCTCGCTTTCTCTTGAATTCTTGAACTTGTAGGAGATTGATGAAGTCATTGTTGTGATTTGTGGTGCGGCTTCGACGGCCTCAAGATGCCGGTAGCGACCCCGATGTGGCCTCGGTGATGGGAAGGAAGTTGCCCACGATCAACGCCGGTCTACAACAGTCAGTCTAAGCTCGGAGGCAATATTCACATCCACTTACATATTCCAAGCATCGCGCTTGACGGTAAAAGAAAAGCAGCAACGTATCTCAGGATCCTTAGAGTGCGGGTCGGGGTTCTTCAAGG